CTCTCGTATTCTTTTGGTCCCATTGTTTGATATAATATACATATTTATTTCTAAATAACAAAAATAAGGAGAAACTTTAATCCTTATAAATTATTAGCATGTTTGATCTTATCTGAGACTCAAAAACAGAATGCAAGAGATTGTAAGGCACCTCAATTAGGGAGCCTTCAGGGCAAGTAATTTCTTTCTTTCCCATAGACCATATTAGTTCTATCCATAAAATATACATATATATATGTATGTATACTTGTTTATCTTTATCTTTTTTGCTTCCTTGATTAGAACCTAATCATTTTTGTAATTTCTTCTTGCAGAAACACATTCGGATTCCACGTTCGAGTCTGTGTTTAACAGAGGGTTGTGTCTTTCAATGCCTCGGCAGCATGTCAAGTCCTTCCGGTCAGTCACAAACATAATAATTCTTGTTAAATATTTTCTTTTTTTATTAAAAAAGTTAATTTGTTTTTCAAAATTTTTTGTTGTAGAGTTTTTGTAGCAACCTGGAATGTGGGAGGGAAATCGCCTCACAGCAACTTTAATCTGGATGATTTCCTTCAGGTCCATGATCAATCTGATATATATGTTTTAGGGTACTTTCTCCTTCTCTGTCGTTGAATCTGATATATATGTTTGTATGTAGTGTTATATTTTTCCTTTGAAAGTTTTGATTTTTTTTTCAAACTGCCAAAAAATTTAGAGGGAATTCAAGATAAGTCAGATACTACTTTATAACTGTCAATGCCTTTTGCGCCGTAAAAGAGAAGTGATAATAATGCTTTGAATGGCCTGATTTTCTTGTGGAACTTTTCTTTTGATTAAATCATAAAGGTGAAGTAATATATATATATATAGCTCGTGTAACAATATGTCAAAACTAATTCTTGATCTTGAATCTGCAGTTTTCAAGAAATTGTCCCACTAAATGCCGGAAATGTGCTTGTCATCGAGGATAATGAGCCTGCAGCGAGATGGCTATCCTTGATTAACCAATCACTGAACCAATCGTGTAGTCTGAATTCACGAGGATTAACAAAGCCTGCTACCTTTTCCCCGGGCGGCTCACTCTTCTTCCAGAAGCCTTCTCTGAAGAAGGTCAGCAAGTCTTTCAGGACAGAGAGCAAAAGGAGGCTCAAGACGTGCAACTGTTCTTCTCCGCAAGAGCTACTAGAGAGGAAGTTTAGTAAAGAATTATGTTTTCGATGCCAACAATCATTTGTCAATCGAGATGAGCTTTCTTCGGACGAGGATGAAGATGGACATAGCACTAACATACTCACAGGCATGTCCACTTCTATGACTAGCAACCAGATGAAGTACAGTCTTGTAGCAAGTAAGCAAATGGTAGGGATTTTTGTCACTGTTTGGATGAAGAAGGAGCTTGTCCAACATGTCAGCCACTTGAGAATCTCCTCCATTGGTCGCGGAATAATGGGCTGTCTCAGAAACAAGGTCTGAAAATTCTAATATATACTTTGATATTTCTCTGTGTTCAGAAATTAGATCTCAATTGTTGAACTGATTTAACAGTGATCAAAATTGTTTTGTAAACTGTACCAGCTATGTACAGTGAAAACTTGATACTAAAAAGAAATGTGTACTACAACCATGAAAAGAGTTCTAACTAATAGTTCTTGAGTGAATACTTAGATCAAAGCTGGCTTTGGATTTCAGGGGTGCATTTCTGTGAGCATGTCTTTCTACCGGACTAGCTTTTGCTTCATCTGCAGCCATTTGGCATCGGGAGAGAAAGAGGGAGACGAACTTAGGAGAAATTCGGATGTGATAGAGATCCTCAGGAACACACAATTTTCAAAGATATGCAGAACAGCTTCCAGTAGGGTGCCTGACAAAATTTTGGAGCATGAGTAAGCATCCTTATCAAAATTTATCCATCTGTTTCGACATGAATATATATATATATATATGCTGATGAACGTTGAAATTCCTTGGACATCTTTCAGCCGAATCATATGGCTCGGAGATTTGAACTACAGAATAGCTCTGAGCTATTCTGACACGCGAAAGCTCTTGGAGAAGAATGACTGGGATGCACTACTGGACAAAGATCAGGTATTTATCTTCAACATCCAACTGCTGTTATTTCTTACACAATCCATCCACGTTTAACCTAAATTCCTCAAGGAAAGAAGATAGTGCAGGTGTGGAATTTGGTTAATACCTTCAAAAATTAGTAACTGGAGAACAATGTTGGCTTTTTTTTTTTTTAAAGCTAGTTTATCCAAACAGAATCGCTAATACAGATGATTGGATTCATTGAGTAATTGCTTATCATTGACTGAATTGAGCATTGCCCTTGTTTTTGTGTGCATATATATATATATATACACAGCTGAAGATTGAAAAGGAAGCGGGGCGAGTATTCAGGGGATGGAGAGAGGGGAAGATCTACTTTGCTCCTACCTACAAATACTCGTACGATTCAGACACTTACTCTGGAGAGACAATGAAAGCTAAAGACAAAAGGAGAACTCCGGCTTGGTACTTGCATAACCCAATTCTGTCACTAATATATATATATATACATATAGATTACTGAACAGAGTAGATACAGGTGCGACAGAATTCTATGGCACGGAGAGGGGATTAAGCAGCTTTCTTACGTGCGCAGAGAGCTCCGATTTTCAGATCACCGGCCTGTTTGCGCCACGTTTATGGTGGACGTTGACGTTGCAGAAGATGGTTATAGTAGAAGATTACCCAGCGTCTGTATGAAAGTTGGGATCGAAGAGCTGTTACCTTTTACAAGTAAAAGAACATTGGCCTTAACATAAATGAAAATTTCAGTTTGGAGTAGCACAATATTTTTGTTTTGAAAAAAAAAAAAAAAGAAATTTTTTTTGACAGTAGAATATGTCTGGGTAAATTTTAGCGCATGGAGGCTAAATTTTTCCTCAGATGATGGTAAAAATCTAATCTTTTATATTCATATCCCAAATTCCGCCTACAAAAATTAGTGAAGGGTAAAACAGGAGAGAGACATGAGATGAGTGGCCTTCCAAGTTGGGGAGGTGAAAAAAAAAGTATGAGGATGTGCAGGGATTAATTTGAGTGTTATAAGTTTTGGCAATCTGTACAGACCCTTAATTTAATCTGCAGTTGAGTGATGTGAAAAGTAATTTTACTTTTTATTTTTATTTTTACTCATTACAGAGAGTTATTTTACAAATATATTAGTCTTTAAAATGTGTTTTATCAAATTTTAAGAATAAAAGAAAAATATATAAATGAATCATATGATGGGTTCCTGTAATTTATATAGAGACTACAACAGTTTTTGTAATAGATATTTTTAACAAAAAATATAAAAGAATTATTATATTTTATTTTTATTATATAACAATAGCAAAAAAGACCAAATTGTTTGGATTAAAATTCAAGATTGAACTTGATGAATTCAAATTAAAAAGCCCAACAACTTGATGAATCTATTCTACACATCTTTAAATCCCAATCCAGAGGCAGAGCAGGAAGAAAGGAACTGATGTGGTTGGCGAAGATTTCAGAGCGGCGGGAATCTCATTACGAATTCAGCTTTGGACGAGGGTGTAAAAGAAGCTGAAGACAAATATTGAAAAGTTGGAGACTGGGATCAGGGGAAAGTACGGGGTGGAGAGGATCTGTCAAAGAAGGAGACCTGAGAGCAAATTGAGGACGGCGGTCGAGCTGAAAGAAAATCTCAGAGAGATAGCAGATTTGAAAAAGAGAGAGATAGACCTAGGATTTTGGTCCGAGGTCAGAGGAAGAAGGTATTTGTATTTCAGTCCTTTCTCAGCTATAATCATTAGGAGTATCTAGAGAAAGAAATTGATTACAGATTACAATAATCTGCAAGCGACATAGTTACATGTGTATAGAGCTTATGCAAAACCCTAATCTTGTAATCCACCGGAGAAAGGTATGTCAGCGTCAGGCAACCAAGTATGCCCTGACGTGAAATTATACACAGTATAATTCGCAGCCTGTGAAACATTCATCAAATTATAACCCGGCCATTGCACTCTCATGCTCGTGTTCGCGCCAGGCCCGTAATTGTTAAACTCACCGTAGAAAAGCGTATCTAGATTCGCCGTCCCATTCCATTCCAGCCAACCAGCAGGTGTAACCACGCCGCCAATATACGATTCCATGAACACCGTCCTCGAATACTCCTTCCACGGCCGTCCTAAATAAGTCAAGGTTGTGTAGTTGCTCGTGTCATTGGCCAGATCTGGCGTGGCTTCGATTGTGCAGTTCTGAATCGATATGCCGGTGTTCTGGTTGGGGTCAGTTCGGCCTTGAGCTGTTATGGCGTTCTTCTGGTTCAACATTGGTTTACGCGGGTAAATATTGCAGCTCTGGAGAACGACGGCGGCGTTGCCGAAGATGAAATCTACAGTCCCGTATATGTGGCATTCTCGGTAGAATTGGCGGAGAGAGTGGACATAGAGAGTATCTTGGTAGCCTTCAAAGCTGCAACGGTAGAAGGAAGAGAGATCTGCATTGTTCCTCAATGCTACTGCTTGATGCTTTTCAGGACCTGCTGCGTTTCTGATCGTTAAATCTACACCCACAAATCTCTCTCCAGAAACAGCTGCAGCGAACATTCAAACTACTAATTTAGAAATTGATTAAGAAAATTTAAAAAATTGAAACTTAAAATCGATTAGATTTGAAAAGGCAAATTTACCGAAGGTGGAAGAGTTGAAGGTTGTCCAGCCATCGACGACGCTATGGTTGCCGGTGATGATGGTCTTGTTGATTCCATCTCCAATAAGCATAATATTCTTCTTGAATTTGGGAACGACGACGTATTCTTCATAATAACCTTGTTTAGCGTAGATGACGTAGTAGCCGTCTTCGGGCTTTGTGTTGTTGGGAGCCGATGCAACGGCGTCGTTTATGGTGGTGAAGTCGCCGTCGGCGTAAGGGCTGACAATTACTGTATTGTAGACGAGAAGTCCACCGCCGTCGACTTGCTCCAGTTTTCGCTCCGAGGGGATTCTCTTGTGGCAGCCTTTTGATCCGTGGCATGAATTTCGTAGAGCCTAATGCATCATTTATGATTTACACATGAGACGGTGTTTTAAAAGTTTAAATTTTTTTTGAAAATTAAAAATTTCAATGATATGTTTTATTTATACTAAGAATAAAATAGAGTTTGGAAGAGGAATGTGACAGCTGTCTAGAACTGGTGTTAGCTCTCATCACGTGGTTCCAGCTCTGCCATTCCCGTTGACTCACAGACTTTAATTATTTATAATATACCAAGTAGAGGAGGTACAAAATTTTTTTATTTTGTAAATATTAAATTAGAAATTCTGTGGTAAATTATGAGTAATAACTTTCCTGATTAAATTAAATAGAACTTGAACACAGAAATCTTAAGAAGGAGACCTCTGGAACTGCCTGGTCGAGTTGAGTTGGTGCGTATCTAAATTATATACACAAATTGATGAGTGGTAAAATATTATTTAATATTCTGTTTAAATTTATGACTTTGATAGATTTATATAACTTTAAAAGATAAAAAAAAATAATAATAAAATTTATTTTAAGTCTTTTATAAACTTAGATGCAAGTAAATTTAGATATTCTAAAATTTATACATTATATACATCATCGTTCTAAAATGGTAAATTAACGGTTGCAATTCTTTTGGCTCTTCTACCCGTGATCCTTATCTTCTTGGAACTTGGAAAGGCAAACAAATTCTAATATTTGCAACAAATTTTTATTTACCAAAAAATCACAACATATTTCTACCATTTAAAATTGTGTATTATATATATTTTAAAAAAAAAAAAAACATGTTGCGTATTATAAAAAATAAAAAATAAAAAAATAATCGTTTAATGGCTATTTAAATTAATGATAAAAGGTGTTTAAATTATAATCTACAAAATTATTAAAATGTTAATAAATTTATGTTAGATTCAAATTATAAATTCTGAATATATTTTATTAAGAAACTATGTTGTTATTGTTTGCATTATTATTAGCATATAATTATTGTTTTAAGTAATAGAATGCACGAACCTCTTGTTAAAAAGCAATGTGGGCGGTTGATTTATTCATTTTAATGTTTTAACTTTATCAACATTTATAAATTAATCAAAAATCTATATTTCAAACACTAATTTAAATCTCAAACCCTAAAATAATTCATTAGGACTGAAAGCAAACCTAAAGTAACAAAAAAAAAAAAAAAAAGTCAAACTGTCTCCTAGTTTAATTCATTATATATATATATATATGTATATATCTTTTGTTTTCAATAAAAGTAAAATATTAAAGGAAAGATAA